ACTTTCCCAAGGCAATTCATCATCTGATTCGCTGGTTGCTGGTACCAAGAGTGTTGATTATAGAGCCAAGCAAAGCTTGGCTGTGAACAAACTCAATCTCTTCACCATCTATCACAATGCTGTCAATCGGCCCAGTGGTGAGAATCTTTGTTTTCTTGATAGTGAGCTTCAAGTGTTATGTGATCAAACCAGTCTGGTGGTTATACAAGTTGGTTCTGCTCTTCTAGGAGTTTCCTAAAAACAGAGCACAGTGACAGGTAATGCCGATCAATGTAAAGACTTAATCACTGCTATTAGGTCAGGAATGCTCACAAGACAAAAACCACATCTCTTCATCATGGTGCCTGCTTAACCAGAGCCTAGTAGAAAGGGGTGGGGGTAGGGCAGAAAGAACCACATCTTCTTTATCTTCCCCCAGGCCCTCCTGACCTCAATGCCTAGTGTAGGCCCTGTCCTTAGTAATGACTCATGGAATATTACACAGGAAATTTAAGTGGTTTCTGCATTCTCTCTGTATGATTCCCTATGAAACACAGACAGACTGTGCTTGATTGATAAGCTGAGTGTGCCTCTTGGGGTTGGCATTTGCACTGAGATCTATCTGATACTAAATCCTGTGCCCAGTGCATCCCACAAGGCACATCAGAAGAAAAGATGTATGCTGGGTTAAACCCCAATTAAGTTAGTGCCCTTCTAGCCTTTTAAAACTAGAAATATTCTTATAACTTGAAACACATGAGCAGCAAAACTTTTTAATGGAACAAACTTGCCAGAGATCCACCTGAAGATAAGAATAATGAGAGTCACCAGCAGAGCCTACACTGGTGCACAAAGTCCCTTGTTCTTGTTAGGGGCTGCTAAATTGACTGCAACTCACAGCGATCCTAAAAAAAAAAAAAAAGGTGATAAAATGAAACATTTCCTAGTCGTGTAATATCCTCTCAATCATGTTTGAGTCCATTTTGTTGCAGTCACTGCATCAATCCAGTTGCTAGAAGGGCTAGTCGCTCTCCCTTTTTCATTGGCTCTCTACATAGCCTCTTCTTCACGGACTGCCCACTCCAGAAAACATGGTCAAAGTCTCCCCATCCTAGTTCTGTGAATACTTCTTCCAAGTCAGATTTGTTCATTCTTCTGATCATTCAAAGTCTGTTGGCGGCGCCTGGTGCTTGTCATTAGTTGCTGGCTTTCCACGAGTCCTTGCACTTTAAAAGAGAACCAAAGAGCCATGTTTTACCCTAAAGAATGGCACAATCACCACTGAATTTCAGACACAGGAGCACATGGTTGAGAGTATATTTTAGGACAATGTCTCATGGTAACCATTTCTCCTTCCCCATCTCCCCCCATTGAGAGACTGTTCAATGTCATGCTATCTCAGGATGGGGCTAATCAAAGTTGGGAGGCAAGAAAACTAGTTTTGGTGCAAGGTGTGTGGTTTTGATACATGCAGAACATTTAAAAGTTATGAAAAGTGATTACTCAGGTTCTCCATAGTGGTTAGTAAGGAACTGCCTTTGAGAATTTCAGAGGGATATTATACAGCAGGGGTATTTGTTGTTTTTAATGAGGTAGATATATAGACGTGGTTGTTAAGTGCCATCAAGATGACTATGACTGCTAGTGATGCTGTGAAAAACAGAACTGTGCCTGATCCTGTCACATCCTCAAGATCCCAGCTATGCTCGAGCCCATTATTACAGACACCCTGTCAGTCCACCTTGTTGAGAGTCTTAACAAGTCAATAAAAAGGACTCTGCCAGCTGGATGATTAAGCACTCGGTTAATAAGAAAGCCTCAGTGCAAACCAACCAGTAACTCCATAGGAAAGAAATTTGGCAGTATGCTTCTATAAAGACACAACCTTGCTTGCCAGATACAAATAGGACATGAAATGCTTGCTGCCGAAGATCAAAGACTACAACCTTCAGTACGGATTACATCTCAACATTGAGAGAAAAAAAAAATCCTTCCACTGGAACAACAAGGCAACACCATGATAGATGGAGAAAAGAATGAGGGTGTTAACAACATCCTCTAAATTAGACATTAAGCTCTGAAGGTCATTTCTTTCTAAATAATAATGATAACGTAGAAGGAACATGTTTCCATTGCACATATTCTTGACCTGAAGCAGAAAAGGGACCTAAAGAGCCCTGCCACACCCTGCAATTATGATGTAATCATTTGTATATTTTTTTCTATAATTATATTTTATTAATTTTCATAAACATTTACAGAGATTTTGGGCTTCCACTCATTCATTGTTGCACTA